CCTTCCACACTACAAACCAGGTGGTGAGCGGGTTAATCCAGGTGATGAGTGAGTTAATCCAGGTGATGAGTGGGTTAATCCAGGTGATGAGCGGGTTAATCCAGGTGGTGAGCGGGTTAATCCAGGTGATGAGCGGGTTAATCCAGGTGATGAGTGGGTTAATCCAGGTGATGAGCGGGTTAATCCAGGTGGTGAGCGGGTTAATCCAGGTGGTGAGCGGGTTAATCCAGGTGGTGAGCGGGTTAATCCAGGTGATGAGCGGGTTAATCCAGGTGATGAGTGGGTTAATCCAGGTGGTGAGCGGGTTAAACCAGGTGATGAGCGGGTTAAACCAGGTGATGAGCGGGTTAATCCAGGTGGTGAGCAGGGTAAACCTACGGGTGTTTAAGCGCATATCTCTCACGACACTTATTGTGCAAATACTCTTCATCCACAGTGGATGAGATAAAGTATAATTAATTGGTAACACTTTACTTGAAGCAGTCTACATAAGGGTGACATGTAACCGTCATAAGAATGACACGACACATGTCATGCACATTAATGACACATTATTGTCATAATGTATTGTTCGGTTTTTGGAACTGAATGACACATTATGACAACAGTCATAAACATCAATAATGTGTCATTAATGTACATGACATGTGTCGTGTCATTCTTATGACGGTTACATGTCACCCTTATGTAGACTGCTTCAAGTAAAGTGTTGCCAGTTAATTTTATGAATTTCTTTTACCACTATATTATTTCCAACAAAGATGTTCATTCATGGAAAAAAAGAAAGGCATGTTCTGGAAGCCTGTATTTATGGGAAGACATTATGTGGTCTAATTTCTGAAGTAATTATGATCCAGACAGTGACCTTAGATCAAAATCCAGACAGAACAGAAGCCAGGAGAAAATTATTTTTACATCAGCTGCTAAAAATTGATTATTGGCCGCAGTGTCTTCTACCTCCTGTCCCACCTCCTGTCTGTGTCCTAACATCTGGCTTTAATTTCCCTCTTTCTGTCGCTTTTTTCTTGCTTTTGATCTCGGAGGCTGTGACCATATCTGTAGCCCTGAGCTGCTTCTCGTCGCTGCCGAGCCTAGATAATAGTCTCTGTTGTCTGGCGATTTGAAGGAAGTTGGCTGTTGTTTATAGTCAAAAGATGAAATGATAGCATAGCTAATTGAGTGATGTGAAAGGCGAGCTTGGTCTGGAGCTCTCGTGAGCGGACCACAAGGACCCTTCAAAGGACATTACGACGTAAACCCCGATGAACGCTTCTTTTGGGAAATGGAAAAAAAACACGTGTAACCCTCTTTTTCCGGTTCGGTTTCAGGCCATTCATTCCCGTTTTCTGTGAGAGCGGAATTTTGTAATATGATTAATCGCTTGACTCTTCATAAGCGTCAACAACATTAAATCTTTTTTAATTTATTTTTTTAACACATACGCAGCAGATGTTCTCCAAGATGCTCAGAGGCTAACAAATTAAGATAATTTATAGAAGCATCATTAGTTATGTCTAGCACATAAAATAGTGCAGCTAAGCAGCATTTTTGTAACACCATGATATTTCCTTACGCAGGGTCACACGGCCTGGTGTGATTGCCAGGTCACTTTTCCGTATGGAATAAATAACTTTAGCGTTATCCTCTTTGCCTTTAGCATTAGCATCTTTGCCACTGGTGCTATGTCTGTCCGATTAGCGAAGCGTGGCGTGGTGTCCGACTATTGAAATACGAATTGCAGATATAGACGGTCCTGTCAGCTGTAACAGGCAGCCACAAATCTACTTGCATTTCAACGGGAAATTTCTGGAAGAGTCTGATCGGCCGTCATCCCAGAATTGACTGCGCAGAGTAATTCTTCCTGTAACTAATTTCCCCTGTTTGTTTAATGTGTGCCACAGATTTAGCATGCCGCTAATTTCGTCTGCGTTCATTTCGTCGGATGTCGGCAGTGCATTAAAATAATTATGTTTTTCAGTAATGCATAAACAAGGGTATCAACGTTCTGTGCGGTCCATCTATTTTCTATAAGTGCTTTAGCAAGACAGTCCGGAGACTGTCTCTGGCTCTCCACACGGCAAATCGGTCCATCACCGGATGTCACCACAGTGTAGGGGCGACTGCTCACCCATGCCGTGTGGCTTTTTGGATTATGGGAAACAGGGGCACAGTAGGGGCACAGCAGGGGCACAGCAGGGGCACAGTAGGGGCACAGCATGGCAATGGGTACACTGGCAGATTCTAGGGGCCCAACACTCTACAGGGGCCCTTGAATACATAACATTATAAAATTCTATAATGGGAGGGGGACCCAGAATTTTCAGTATACCCCGGGTGGCATACCCAGAGGGAGGGATTAGCGATCTGTTTTTTTGTGGGGACTTAATTTCTGTGGGCATAATCCTAATCCCGACCAAGACAACCTAAACCCTACCCAGCCCTAACCTTAACCTCCAAAATACATTTTAAGGCTTTTGATTGCATTTATAGATTTTTATAAAATTGCGGTTATCCTTGTGCGGTCAAAATAACAGGTTTGTTTTTTTTCGTCACAATGTAATATTTATATGACCACACACATACAGAGGCATGCACATATGTGTCTGCACACATACACACACTTAAACCAACGGCCCCGGGGGTGTCAGGCCGCATAGCAGCCACTGAAGCAGCCTATTGCGTGTGTGTCTGTGTGCCGCAGTGCTCACCTGTTCATATGGTGGGAGGAATGGCTCGATATTAAATCTAAAACCCAGGTTCTATGGCTGACGCTTAGTTTGTAAGTGAGTTTTTTGCTGTATTCTGTTTCAGTATTATTTTCTGCCGACTCCCTCCCCCATTTCACAGAGCAATTTTTTTTGTGATTATGACCACAGTGCTTTTTTAATCTTTGGAGCTTCCATGTTGGAGATCACATGTACCTTTAACAAGGCTGCTTCATAGTATTTACTCTTCGTTAAAGATGGGGAGTTTCTCTATTTCTCTAGGTCCCCCCCCCCGATGCAAATACCATCCGCTCTTCCATGCTGGATTAATTGCTGCTCAGTGGGGAAAGATTATGCTGCGTTTTACTGGGGAGGTTTTTCATTTTTGTAAATATCGACCTGTGTCAGATGGGTTTAAAACCAAGGGGAAGGTCACGCTCCCTTTCCCAGAATCCTCCTCTCTGTTGTGCTCGTCCCATTTCTACCGGGCTTCCCAGTTTGCACGCTGTGCTACGGTAAAGACCCACCTGCGTGCGTCTGTTAATGTTCCACAGAAATATATACGCATATACAAATTATGTAATGTTGGGGGGTGATTTGTGGCTCAGCGGGTTTGGACGCTGTGATTGGAAGGTCAGCGGGTCAAATACTGGGGTCTGCAGAGTGATGTCACTGTTGGGCCCTTGAGCAAGGCCTGCGACCCCCAACTGCTCAAGGGGCCGTCTGACCCTGATTTCACCAAGAAAAAATGCTGTTTTTGATAAAAGCCATTATTAAAAGCCATAAATAACTGTGAAAGTGTAATATAATGTAATTCACAATGAGGAACATTTTCTCAGCCATTTCCCGAAGATGGTTCCCCATCCTCAAGGAGGGTTCTATTAAAGGCAGTGTCTTCACTCAGATCGCAGAGTGACAAAAATGGCCTTTTCTCTCTCACCTGAAATGGAGGCTTTATTTCCGTGGGAAATCGAGTGTGCGAGTGTCCTGCCTGGTAAACCCATCCAGCAGCGCCGCCTCATCCCAGATAAGGGACAGTAAATGACCCCCACCCCCCACCCAGTCGCACGTACCACACAGACGACCCAGCGATCTCTGATTTACCAGACCGCAATCAAACAATCTCATTTCTTTCTCTAATGTGTGATTAGATGCATGTCCTGTGAAGCCCGCGTCCGTGTTTTACTCCCCCTGCTTAGCCGGGGCCGTGAATCAGAGAAAACGTGACTGAGTAAATACTTGTCAGCCCCAGTGAATTTCTCCAGGCCGGCAGAACGTTAATGATCGGTGGAACGGCATCATTACGACGGTGAAAGTAATTGCACATATAATTTCAAAAGTGGCCATGACGACACTGCATTCGTCCGCTCGGATATACATGCGAGTCGAAGCCGAGAAAGTCCGGATGATTTTGGGTGTGGAAACCCGGCCCGCAAAGCCTCCATCCACTGGTCTGTTACTGTGCCGCTTCATTTCTATTTTGTTTGTCTTTAATAATGTAAAAATACAATATTAATACATACATTTTATTTAAAGGTGCCTTTCAGGACGCCTCACAAAGAATGTTGGGACAAGATGGCAACATGTACACACAGACATATCCACAAACACATACACACACGGTGTTTGTAATTATATCTTTGTGGGGACCAGCCCTAACCTTAACCATAAGTAACCATAAGTTTTTTGACTGCATTCACAGATCATTGTTGGGACCTAAACAATGGTCCCCTGAACGTCAAAATAACAGGTTTTTATTACATTTGGTCCCCATAATATACTATAAACATAATCCACACACACACACACACACACACACACACACGTGCTTCCTGACCTTCGGCAGCTCCTGCACCTACTGAGCTGTGGGTCCATCTCCCCGTTGGCAAACAGACATCTGCTTGCCTCCCTTTTTTTGCCAGAGTTTGCAGCCTTCAGAAAGGATCCATTAGAGTAGATTTTCTCTGTCTTTTAACTAGGAATGTGCTCTTTATTCCCCAAGTGGCCTTTTTCAGTACGACCGCCTTTGTGTTTCAGTGAGTTGCACTCCACTGCAATGTTACGCAGACATTTAAAAATTTCACTAAATTAATTTCAGATAAGCCCCTTAGCAGCTTAGGTGTGAAAGAGAAAAAGGGGATAAAATGTCAGGGCCTTTGATCCCCCCCACCCCCCATCACAAACATGCCTGAAATGCTGCTGTTTATCCATTGCTCACAGGCCTCCATCCCTGCCATCACTTTTGGCTGTGATCCTTATTAGAAGCGACAGAGGTGGGGTGTCAGGTGGGGGGGTGGAGGCGGGGCGTGACGTGGGCCGTGAATTAACCCCGATAATATGCTCCCGTCCACAGGCCTTCAGACCTCCTACGCCAGCCAGCACAGCCTACTGGGCCAGGACTTGAGGATGGCCATGTCTCCTGACCGCAACATCACCCCCATTTACGAAGGCCGCACCTTCCCGGCCCCCTTGTTCCACAGTCCCAATCATGGCACTGTCGACCTGAACCACGGCTCCCAGAGCGCCCTCTACAGGACAAGCTCAGGTATGCGTTCCGGCCATGGCAACAAGTCTGATATTCTCTGGACCAGTGTTATGAGAGGTGATATTCTACTGCGAAATCCCAGAAAAAACATCTCATTTCCTTATGCAATAAAGGAATTTTCTATTTATTTTATTTTATTTTATTTATCCCTACTATCTGTTTACCGGAAATTAACTGGGGGGGTGAGTTTTATGTATTTCGAAGATGCTTTTATCCAAATCCATGTACATTTTTTAGAATACAGGGTCAGACAGTTACCTAGAGCAAACTGGGGTTAGGATTCAGCTGTGTCACTGAATTCATCCCCTCTGCTGTGCCCCATTATCCTTGGGGGCTCTACTTTGTACTTTGCCCCAAATGAACAGCTGCTGGGGGGGGGGGGGTGCAAGCCACTGAAGATGGCCACCCATCCGGGGAATACAGCGGGACTTTGTGGAATCAAGTCCCTTTTGAGCCAATAAACTGCTCTACATTGCCCATTATTATTCATTGTATTAATTATTGGTAATGATGACTGTCCTGCATCTACTTCTGACTGTCATCCAGTAATCTGGGGTGTTACGTGGCCGTGTGGGGTGGCCACACCCCGGAACCGGAGGGGGTGTGTCGCTAAATTAAATCCAGTCCCATTTAAAATTTTGCCCATTTCTTTGCCATCGGGCTCCCGTCGTGCCCCCTCTCTCCCCCCCCCCCCCCCCCCCCCCCCGGGAGTCTCCTATCTACCAGGGGAGTCGGGTAATAAATTGTATCAGTGCCCAGAACGGTATTTGTAGATAAGCATGCGTAATGTGTTTACCCCGGGCCGTATTGAGAAAGAAAAATGACTGTTTAGGGCTTTTGTGTAAGCCTACTTCATTAGAAAAAAAATCCAATTTGATCCCAGAACAGTTTTTGTTATGCTGTGAAATTAGATTTTAATGGCCTTTTTTAGTAGGGCTCTCTTTTTTTGTTCTTTGTTCTTTATTTTGGCGTTACGTACATTCGACTGCGAGGACTGAGGTCAGTGTGGCACTCGGTGAAAATATCGATCCCCAGTGCAAAGAACTCTGGGAAGTAACACATGGAATGTAGATTTGGGATCTGGCGTGATCTCCCGGAATGTTATTTTTTGGGGAAATTTTTTATTTTTTTTTTATTTTAAAAAAAGATTACATTGATAATTTCATGATTCTCATGATTTTAATGGGTGCTTTATAAGATATCTGACAGTATTATACAGAGGAACTTTGCTGTATCATAGCAGGAGGAGGCAAACAGAATCCAGAAATACTTTTGCAGATGTGGGACATTGTTGCAATTTCAGATACTGCATTATAGGTCATTTTCCCCTGCACAGATCTCATCTTCAGATCTTGGGCAAATTTGGTGTCACTCCAGGTCACCAAACAAGGTGACCTTTGAGCTGGCTGAAGGCAGTGTATGTAGAGTCACAATGTGTGTGTGCAGGCTAAACACTGTGTGTGTTGGCGCAGACGGACACTGTGTGTGCAGAGGGACAATTTGCATGCAGAGAGACACTGTATGTGCAGGGGGACACGGTATGTGCATTTGTGCAGAGGGACACAGTGTGTGTATTTGTGCAGAGCGACACTGCAGAGAGACACTGTGTTCAGAGGGACACTGTGTGTACAGAGAGACACTGTATGTGCATTTGTGCAGAGGGACACAGTGTGTGTATTTGTGCAGAGCGACACTGCAGAGAGACACTGTGTGTTCAGAGGGACACTGTGTGTGCAGGGGGACACTGTATGTGCATTTGTGCAGAGGAACACAGTGTGTGTATTTGCTCATAGGGACACCATGTGTGCGTTTGTGCTAGGGATGCTGCACATAGAGCATCAGAATAATAAGCAGGCCAGCAGGAAGTACATTGTGGGGACCAAGGTTGATCTTTGCTTGTCAATGAGCACTTCACTATGCTTGGTGGTGGGATGGCCAGAAGGTCAGTCACATGCTCTAGACACTAATGAGCAGAGGATACTGGGAGATACAGCTCTTATCTCATTGAGGAATTACAGGCTCTGTGGATGATAATGATGATGATGATGATGATGATGATGATGATGATGATGCACAAGCCAGGATAAACCTCACCACCAAGATGTGTCAGATCAAGCTTAGAACAGTGTTTCCCAGTCCGGTCCTCTGGGACCCACAGACGGTCAACATTTTTGCTCCCTCCCAGCTCCCTGCCAGACAGTCCACATGTTTTACTGGGAGCTGGGAGGGACCATAAACGTCTGTGGGACCATCTGTGGGTCTCGGAGCACCGGATTGGGAAATGCTTAGAAGATGTCATTATTGAGAACTTGTGGTCAAAAGACTCTGAAGTCAAATACTAGTGGGGGTGGGGTGGGGGTGGGGGTGGGGGGTGCGCACTGCCAAAACTCCCTGAAGCTGAGAACTTGACAGGGATCATTAATATAAATGTAATGCAGCTGCCAGTAGCTTTCTGTTGACCGCAGTGACCGCAGCAGTGCAGTTCCTGAGTTGGGCCTTTGGAGAGGCTGAGCAGGTGCCCCGCTGGAGTGTGGCAGCAGGGGGAGGGGGGGGGCGTCTCTGGCAGGGACTTCCCCTGCAGCGTCTGGGGTCTGGCTCCCCACGGACCCCCTTTCCTAGAAATCATCTCCAGGAAGAGTTTGGCCTGTTCACCTTGGAGCCGTGGATGTTGTTGTTTTCACCCAAACATCATTAAGGGGTCCCAGGCCGAGGGATTCGTCCTGCTGGTTATACGGAAGAGCAGGACCCATCAGAACAGCTGCCAGTCTGTGTTACCGGGCCCATTAAGAAACAGGGCTATAAATAGTCTGTTTTTTGTAAACTGTTGTATATAATAACAGGTCTCAGTTTGGGATTTTGTCCATTTTCTTACTGCTGTTATTATTCCAGGAATAATTGTCCTACTTTTTATACTAGAATTTTACCCATTTAATAGCCTCTAATTTCTGTTTGCTAGCTTCAAGGCACGACAGCTGACACCTTCCCTGAACTCGCTGTGGTCCTTTAAGGCGTAAGCCCAGCTCTGTGACCCGGTGCTGACCCGTTTAACTTCACTGTTAGGTCTCTCGCTGCTCTTTCCACAGGTATGGGCAACTTGCAGCGGACCCTGAGCCAGCACAGTGCCGCCACCTACCACAAAGGGGGTAACTATGCCACGTACAACGAAGCCTACCGCCACTACCGGCCCTCTGAGCCCAGCTACAGCCGGCGGGCCGTCGCCGTGGACGATGGGGCCACTCGCTCTCCCTCCATAGACAGCATACAGAAGGATCCCAGGTACCCCCTGGCATGAGTGGACTGGTACTGGTGTGCCTGCGTGTCAAGGTCAGGGGTGGCATCCGCAATATATTTGAACCCATAATGCCTTGAGAAATTAGTTTAGCAAGTTTACAGCCTCGGCGTGCCCAAATATGTATTGCCCATTAATGCGCCTTCAGTGTACATAAGGTAATCACAGCTACAGCATGTGAGCCCTTTTCTGAACCCGACGACGTTGGCGACGTCAGATCACCTGATTTTAACTTCAGTTAACAAGCATACGATGCCCTAAGCGATAAACGCAAAAAACAGTTTTTTTTTTTTTATTAGAATGTCATCGTTTTGCTGCTTCGTATGTCCAAAGCAACTAGGATATATTTGTAATTCCTATCTTGTCTATAAGGTGACTATCTAACAAATACGTGCAGATAGTTGCCCTTAACCAGCAAGCAAGCTGATATCTGTAGCTCCCGGCTGGCGATGATTAGCCAGCCTACGTCATGGATGCCGCCAGGGCCTGATGCTGTGAAAGAAGTGGCAGCTGGAGTAGTAGGTGGTTTTTTTAGCAGTAGTTTGTGCCAGTGTGATCCTGTCAGTGCCGGGCCAGACCTCCGATATAGGCCAGAGGTGGAAGAAACAAGGCTTCCCTACCTTCGCTGTCAGGAGCTGACTTGGTTAACTGCCTTCTGATTGGTTATTTTGCTGGTCATATCCTGGGCAGTTTAGTGACTGACATGTGGTGCTTCTTATAATTCCACGCACTGTGCATTCGGAGGTTCCGAGGATGTCACCTCCCGCCAGCAAGCTGACCAATCACGTTAAGCAGATCTGCGGGGCATCCCCAAGATGTCACCTCCCGCCAGCAAGCTGACCAATCACGTTAAGCAGATCTGCGGGGCATCCCCAAGATGTCACCTCCCGCCAGCAGAAAGCTGACCTATCACGTTAGCAGAATCTGCGGGGCATCCCCAAGATGTCACCTCCCGCCAGCAAGCTGACCAATCACGTTAAGCAGAATCTGTGGGGCATCCTAGTCAGGCTTCTGCTCATGGCTCTGTAGAAGCGCCAAAATTACAGCCCGTGTTGGGTCTCCCGCCTGTGAACATGCAGCCAGGTGGCACAGCAGTTTCATGGCGGGGGATGTCCGCGGTTCGGTTTGCTGCTTCTGAGTGTGTGTGAGTTAGGGGGCCCAGAGTCTTACACCCTCTGCATTTGAAAATGGACGGATGAGTGAAATCCCTCCGGAGCAACAACGCCACTGAATGTATTACAGTAACAGCTGGACCGGATGTGTGCTGCATTTCCCAAATTGCTGAATATGTAGACACCCAGTTTGGAAGAATGCTTCACTGAGCTGATGGAATTGTCAGGTAGCGTCTGAAAGCTAACTTTAACGCTGAGTTAATTGAAACCTGCCTGAACTATTAATTTCATGGTAAATTTATTTAAGCGCAGATCAGTCCGTAACTCAGATTTAAACAGCCCAGATCTGATTCCACCATATGCATCTGTTTTTATAGATTAATTGCTTTAATCCGGTTTAGCTCTTGAAGGTGGCAGATCATCACACACGCACACTTGTCTCCCATGTGACTAGCATCTGCCAGACTCGTCTGTTTTCCCCGTAGAAATTTATGGAGAGTCCCCACAAAGACATTATTACAAACCTCTGTGTGTGTGTCTGTGTCTGTGTCTGTGTGTGGGTGTGTTTGGAGCAAATTCTGCTTCTCAAACCTCACACACTTGAGTTAGTTCTTAGTAAGAAGTTTCATCACATCTGTTTTTTTCAGTGTCACTATGTTATGCGGTGTGTTGGCGCTTTTACTCTTTGTGAGGTGACCTTTTGCACCCTGAAAGGCGCCTTTAAATAAAACGCATTTATTATTATTGTATTATTATATTATTAAAGTACAGCTTCTTAATTCTGCATATAAACAAAAACAAAGCCGAACCATAACAGATCTAGCTGTTGTTCGGTGCTTGAGTGGCCAGGCCTGTAATTCTGTTGGCCAATCACATTAAAGGTTTAGCAGAATCTCTGAGGTATGAAATCGCACTTCCAGGATAAAAAAAAATATATGAAATGCTGCACTGGTGACGTGCAAGCTGTGAGTCGTGGTGCTTCTTTCCGTCTGCTGTAGGGACTCGGGGCTAATTTAGATGAAAATAGCCTTCTGTTGGAGCTGTGTCCTATCTCACACGCTCCCGTCTAAGGACAGGCAGCCATCAGCACATCCACACATCGCTCCTCAAATCATCACGGTTTTCCCTGTTTGCAGAATTCTGGGAGCAGTTTGAGTGGGTCATCTTTCACGTGATGAGGATCTTGTGTAAAGACAAATGCATGTGATGTAAATGATTCTTTAAAATCCTGGCTTAAAGTTGTCAGTTATGATTCTTTTTCTATGGTAGTATGATGGCAGAGCCTTTCAGTGGAGTGGACTTCTTTTTATAGAGTGCCGTCCTGTTCAGCGGGAGAAGGCGGTCGTTTCTCAGAGGACCGGAATGCCTTTTAATGGACAATGGGCTCTGCGCGGGGCTTAGAGACCCCCGGTGGGCATCCCCCCAGAGGGTGTCCCCCTCCCAAAGGGCATCCCCTGTGACACGCTCATTTAATGCTCCTCCCCAGAGAGTTTGCCTGGCGAGACCCAGAGCTGCCCGAGGTCATCCACATGCTGCAGCACCAGTTCCCGTCGGTCCAGGCCAACGCGGCAGCATACCTACAGCACCTGTGCTTCGGGGATAACCGGGTCAAGTCCGAGGTACAGGGAGGGGGGGCATTTTGGCTCAGTCCACCAGGGGGGGTCGTGACACTGCCGGCCGTATTATTTCCCAGCATAGGTCGTCAGCTGAAAATGCTACAGCTTATTAAGTTTAATAAAATAAAATCATACTGTAAGGTTAAATTTGAAAATCTAGTTTGTGTTAGTCATATGCATGTCTAATAATAATTTAATGTCAATGTATTTACTTTTTTTATTTGGGCCCTCTCACTTAGCACCCCCTAGGACAAAAGTCTTCCCAGTAAGAGTGTCTGGGTTTGTTCAGTGCCCAGCCAAAGGTTTCAGTGTTTGCGGGAGGGCATGGGGGGGGGG